CAGGTAAATAAACTGGCCCGGCCCGCCAGGGTGCTTACCCTGGCGAGACGCGTGCCAAACGTTGCCGACCCCTGGTCTACTGGCTTCAGTGACATTGTTCACCAAAATAAAGGGTTGCAGAATCAGGCCTTATTTTTACACACCACATATATTTTAACCCCACATGAATGTCTCTTGATTAAATGTAAATTTTTTTTAGCCATACAAAAACAACTTTTATGTCTTGATTAAGACTAGTCTCGTCTAATCCTCTAATATAGACTAAATTCAATATTTGGCATCAGGACCCAGCAAAAGATACAAGCTTGCTATTTGGTAGAGAACTTGGGCACTGTTTCGAAGGATTGCCTGAAGTTTCAGAAAACAATCCAAAGCCTCGTCTATTCTGTTTAACTTTTTATATGTTAAACCTAAAAATAAAAATTACAAAATGAATTCAACAAGCAAAACAAAACATCAGTACAGGCACAGTAATTTAGCGGAATAGCAAAGGAGAATGAAGCAGAAATGCAATATTTAGAGGGATGTTATTAACTTAAAAATCATATTTTTGTCTGAATTTTTTATTCCTGTATTATTGTAATAGGGAACACATGAAAGAGACTGAAAAAATATTTTTCTCAGTTTTCAGTTTGTTTAATTTGTACATTTGGCAGCCCTTTTCGGATAGTCAATTTCACTGTTTTGATAGTCGGTCAGTTTTCCTTGTTTATATTGGGTTTTCATAAAGCAACAACAGATAGAAAAAACTTTTTTTAAAAAAAATAGGAAAACATGATTGTAAAGCCACAAGGATACTCAAGGCAGATGTGGTATTTGAAACTACCTTTAACTTTTTTTTTTTTTTAAGTTGATGGAGGTTTTTTTTTAAAAAGCAAGCTGCATCACTGCTTAGAGGTAAATGCAAAATAACTGCGCTTTCCCCGATGATCGCTCTCTCATCTCAACTGCATCTCAGTAGATTTGCTGTGCTGTTTGCTTAAGAACCATCCTGACAGTCCTTTCAGGCAGTGTGACCTGAACGAAGCAAAGCTGATTAGGGCAATGGTCATTATTCCAGTCAAGGCCCACAGCCATACATAATACCATCCCTTTAACAAGGGGCATCAGAAAGGGAAGGAGAGATAATTTGGTTGAGTAGTTCTAGTCAAAACCTACATTTTGAATAGAAAATAGTGCTTAGCAATTTTCATCTTCAAAGTGATTTACCAACATCAATTAGTGTAAGAACAGATGAGTAATATTGGTGCAGAGTTTCTGTGGAAGAGGTTTGAAGCAAAGGATATTATCTCACTTTACATCTTAAATCATGAGGTAAAAGAATTAACAGTTTAATGGAAATGACAGAACATATTTTAATTTCAATTAACATTTCTAAAAAGGACAAGTTTGAAAGCTAGAATCTCAAACACGTTAGTAGCCTTATCTAAACTCTAAGCCACGCAAACACCTCTACATTACCTATATTGTAAAGTGCTTCAGTGCATGAGGAATCATTCCTTAGAGCTTCCTTATAAAACTCTGCTGCTTTTTCATAGTCTCCATTTGCAAACACAGTATTTCCTTTATTAGTGAGAGCTGATGGGTTGTATCTATCAGAATTCACAGCTAAATCTGCATAGTTGGCTGCTTGTGCTAATTCATTCTCCTGTGTAAACAAGATATATATATAGTATATTAACAACTTGTCAATCAATAATTTTCTTTGGAGCTAACCTTAGTCTGTTTATGGTTGATATAATAGCAGTCTGAAAAAATATTTAATACTCTTTATGAGCTTGTAGAAAACAGATCGATAACATATTTTTCAGGTCATAGAAACCTGAAAATTAGAGAGTGAAATCTATATTGTCATCTTGTCCATCTCCCTCCCAATGCTGGCTTGCTCCTTATATTGGTAGTAAAGGTGGGAGAAACACTGTAGAATCATTTAAGCCTCCGAAATGAACTTATTTTATATTCTACTTGAAAATTAATATTAATCAGAGAGGCAGAGAAGACAGCACAGAGCAGTATTCTAAATGTCGTTGTCTCCACTCCTCCCCAAGTCTAGTTATGGGAGTTAAGGGTGGGATCACAGCCCTATTACTGATGTGCAGGTGAACAGAACCCTGTTAGAGATGGAGGGAAGTAAAAGTGCAGGTGAGCCCAGCAGGAGACAAGGAATGGGTGACAGGCCAGGCAGCTGAATACATACATTCAGAGAGCACAATGGCAGTAGGAAGCCAGGGAACAAATAATTAGAACATAGATATAAGAAGAGCTTCATGAACATTAACTAATTCACCTTCACAACATCCACATGAGGGAAGAGTCTCTTATACTCCAGCAGGGGCTCAGTCTCACTCCTCCTGGCAGCACAGCCAGAATTCTTCACCCACTTTCTAATTGCTGCTGCAGCCAGGAAAGGGGGTAATGGCAAAGCAGTTGGAACACTCCTTTCTGTCTGCTCTGCTTCTTGTACCTCTATAAAAGCAGAGCACTCCCACACATAGGCGCTGATTCCATGCGTGCTCTGGAGCTGGAGCACCCATGGAAAAAAGTGTTCAGCACCCACCGGCAGTCCTGCCAATCAGCTCCTCCTCTTCCACCCCAGTGGCTCTCACCTGCCAGTGATCAGCTGTTCAGCAGCATGCAGGAGGCGCTGGGAGAAGAGCAGGGGCAGGAAGAGATGCAGGGAGGGGGTGCGGTATGGGCCAGGAAGAGGCGGGGTAGGGGTCGGAGAGGGGGTGGGAAGAAGCGGGGCAGAGGCTTGGGGGATGGGGTGGAGAAGGGGCAGGGCCTGGGTCAAAGCAGGGGTCGAGCACCCTCTGGGAACTCATGAAGTTGGCGCCTCTGCTCCCACAGCCCCTACTTTCAAATAGGAAGTGAAGGCAACAATTGAAATTTAAATATTTAACATTTATAATAAAAAATAATAAAGTACTTTGCTCTTGCATAGCACTTAACAGTTCAAAACATTGAACAGACATTGACTAGTTAAAATGGTGTCTTTTCTTACCTCTTGTTTTCATGAGCATTGTCTCAATGCTGAGACAGAACATGTAGATAGATACAAAAATTGCTACGGAAGCGTAGGCTCTTCTGAGCTCATAGTTAACAACAACAACAAAAAAGGCGTACTTACCAAATAATAAAGAAATGAAAGGTTTGTTGCAGCTGCACTTTTTACTCTGCTATCCTTTTTTTCAAACATTTTTAAAGTCTCCACAGCCTAGAATTAATTCACAAGCAAGTTACTAAACTGTAACAAACTTACTCAAACTATTACTGTGCAGGTCAATCCTATGTTTTTGTGAAGGAATAAACAACTAAAATTACTACTTGACTTATATTACTAGTTAGTAATTTATTAATTACTACTTAGACAACAATTATACATAACCTTTTCTACTGCAAAATATTTGATATTTCGTACTTTTAAAATTCCCACAGCAGTTTTGTTATCCAGCGTATGGATTAGATTTAGAAGACTTAGAACTTTCTGTTCAGATATCCACACTTTTCCATAGAAATTCCATTCATTAATAAAAAAAAATAATAATAAAAAAGCAAGCTTCACTGACGTTTTCATTTTGTCAACTACCTGTATTGTGTAAATATTTTCACTTTTTCTGTATCTTTACATAAGATTTTTTTCTTAAAGACTCACAAACAAAGATATAAATGTAACAATACAAAAAGTATGTAACAGTACGTTTGGAGTACAAATATAAATACACAAAGCAAAATTTCTAACAGAAATGGCTCATCACTTTCACTTCTCATATTACACAACGTGCTCAGAGAAGTGAGGCTTGAGGACAATACATATGCAAATCTAAGGAGTTTTACAGATCCCTTTGTACATTAGAAATTAACTTCATAAACTTTGGCGAGGTGATACTGATATGTGAAAAGAGTAACAAAAATTATATAATTAACTAACAAATTTAAAAATAGAGGGCAATTTTTTCAGCAATATAAGAAAGATTTATATCTATAGACCAAATATAACAAAATCTTTGGCTAGTTTCTACTAAATATTTACATTAGGTACATAAAAAACTGTTTAACGATACTTTTGCCTCAGTTCCATTCTCCATTACATCAATGCAAATGTAATGACTTCAGGTTACCCACTATTTTCAGTTAAAACTCCTCCTTTTTCTCTACACAAGTTAAAATCTTGAATTTGCTTATCATAGTAATGTGAATGCATAATGCTCTCTGGTGGTGTGTCAAGGCAGGGGAAAAAATACAAGGTTTTTAAATGATCCACGAACATGCTATTTTTACATTACTCAAAACGCATGACTTAGTGTGGCGTAAGAGGACATGTGAAGTTTACACAGTTAGCTGAAGTTTATTGCTCCCTAGCAAACTACATAGGAAGTACAAACTACTACAAAGCTGAACATTTTTTAATTATATAGAAGTCTCTGAAGAAAAGCACCAATTTGAGAGTCAAGGAAATAGTTTCAAAATGCATGACTTCAGATTTTATGGGCTTTGAAACTCAAGACTTTAGCTATAAGGATTTTGGTTCTCATTATGTATTTGACTGAATCAAGAAAGAACTGGTCCCACAGATCTACAAGTACAGTACTGTTATGTCTGAGGTATTCTGCCATCAAATTGTTTCTTCAAGTTCAGGCTGCACATCTCAGTTACAATGGAATTTTGGTTTAGTGACCTTTCAGCTATATATCGAGTTGCTTTCCTAAAGTCAATTTCCTATTGTTGTTGATTTGTTTGCCCTTTCCTTTTACTGATATGGTGGCATCTTTGGTTATAAAGATTAAAGAGGAAGTAAATAGACTGTGTGAGCTAGATGAAGCCATGACATGCCTTGGTATTAAAATGCCTTAGCGGTACTCATTTTATCATGGTGGAAGGTGAAAATGTTGATTCTATGTACACATCTCAATTTGGGAAGTTTACTTTTTATGTATCATGAGGGTAATGGTCAATCGGACACAACCATCAAAACACATTGTCAAAACCAATCCTTTTAACTGGATTCCGATGTATACATTATATATGTACAAGGGCCAAGTTTAAATGTAATGCACCTGGCCTAAGCTGTGGATTCCCAGTAACGGTAGTAGAACTTGCAAGGCTAAATCCCAGTGCTCTGCTTTAAAATTTTATACCAAAACAATCTTGTAAATTAAGAGAGATTCAAAACACCACTAACACACGAAGATTATTTTAAAACAATATGCAAGTCTGAAAATGGCCAGGTAGATGGTCAGTAGAGATTTGATATCTATTTTACTTATGAATTTATTTGTATCATTGACCTAAAACCATCTAATTGTGTACCTATCTAGTCCACATAACCATATGCTCATGTCACTGCTACTCTCACGTGTTAAAATCTTTTGTTAAATTAGATTATAAAGTCTTCTGGGCAGATACACCCTTACTATGTGTTCGTACAATGCCTAGAATGGTGAGGCCCCAATCCTACCCAGGGACCTCCCATTGCTACCATACTAACATTAATAATGCTCCTCAGAATGTGGGTCCTTCATATTATTTCATGATTTAACTGTTCTCTGACTTCAGATTGATGCTACTGTTTCACAGTACAACATTCCAATCTCAAACTCTGTATAAGGTTTCTATTCAGCATTCCAGAAGTTCACCAGTTCCTGTACTAGCCCCGCAGAACAGAAATACCATTTAAATCTCACATCTGTAATTTTAGGTGCCACAGGACCCTCTGTTGCTTTTTACATCTGTAATTTTATTTCTCTTGTAGTTTCCAGTAGAATTTATGGAAAAACTGTTGGATACAATGAAGCATGGAATTGGGGAAAAGAAGTTGAAACTCTAATTGATAACTACTGAATAGAGAGAATAGTTAGAATAGGTGACAGGGAGCCAGGAGTCCTGGGTTTTATCCCTGTGTCTGCCACAGATTCACTGTATAACCATGAGCAAGTCATGTAACCTCAAGATGCCTCCTTTTACCTACTCTCCTACCTTAGAGAGATGCTGTTGTGAGGTTTAATTAATGAATTTTCACAAAGATCTTCAAGACACTGTGCTAGAAGGTGTTATATATGTAATTTTAGATAAAAATATACTTGAATTAGATGCAAACAGTTCTAACATTGCATAAGATCAAGAAATTCAAAAGGGAAGTTCCCACAGCAGCTTTAGGTCATATTTTATAATTACATTTTTGCTGCTTTAAAAAGATCCAAAATATGGAACAGCAAATTTTGTGTTATTTTAAGGTGAATTCAAAATTATTATTTTTCCTCTTATTTTTAAAGTTTTAATGCTTGCATCAATGTATGCTATAGTGAGTGCTCCGTTACACCCATTATAGTTACAGTAGCAGAAGATTTTCATTGTGACCTCTCTTTTTATACACTTAAAAAAAAACTTTGAAAAGTTTACTTTGGGGACTGAAATTTTCCATGTTTGTTCTTTAGCCAAAGGTGAATGGTGGTGTAAGGTGGTTTTGTTGTTGGTGGTGATATTTTTGGAAGTTTGAGCAAAAATCACATCAATTGTTCTTGAGTTTGCGGTTGTTCAGATGAAGCAATTTTTTTCAATTTTATCATATTCTGTCCAAGCCTTTACCCACGGAACAGGAACTCTCTTCTATATTTTTCTTTGAATAAGATGCTAGAGTAATGCAAAGGTAAAATTGGAAATCTATGACATGTGAAAGTTAGGGAAGAGCATATTATGTGTATGCTGTCTCTGTGTACATTCTCTTTACTATACATGGTTACGGGTTGTATTTAAGGTTACAGAAATGCATTTTTCATTATATATTTGAGAAATTGTATGATCACATAAGTAAATACATGCATGCAGTGTTAAGGTAGTGCACTGTATCTTAACTTTCACATTTCCAGTCTTCTGAATGTGGAGTGCAGCATAAAGAATGCAAAGCTACCATGTGTTTGCATTTGTAAGGGGTATCCAGTTTAAGAAAACGATTCACTTATGTATTATGTACATTACGCTTATGTGAATATGTAGGAGCAAAAGGTATATTATGATCAGGAATGAGGCACTCAAAAAAAATGCAGCTTTCTTGTCTGAGGTTCTTACTTGCTTTGCCTAGGCTAAGCCCCAATACCAAGGCACTGAGAATAGTGACAGTGTCATGGAAGCAGCAGTCAGGTCACAGGATGCCTCCTGGTTATCTTGTTAATATAGGTGTGTCAAAAGAAAAATTGAAAAAAGGGACTTCTTGGCTGAGTTTACATCATCAAGGCACCCAATCTTTTATATTCACAGATAGAATTTGTGCAGGCAATTCATTGGACTCAAAAGTATGAAAGAAGCATAGAACGTATTTAATGGAAAGAGTAAGTAGATGTTTGCATATTGCAGAACAGGTTGGAAAAGACAAGATCCTCCAACGTACTATTTCCAAACTTGCTATACTATTTTTCATGTTGATGCCTTTCTCTCATTCTTTATGCTTCCAACAATTTTAATAATTCAGTAGGAAACCAAGACAGTAGGGTTTCTGCTTTAAAACATGCTACTATTTCAATTCTTGATGTTTCTTTTTTCATTTTAGGCAGTGAATCTTCTACAGTTAAACAATGATAGTCAACATTCTACTTTTCTCATTCTATCACTCTGATGGGGCACAATACACTAACATCTTCCATCTATCTCAAGCATTTGCCTCAGATCTTCAATATAATTCTACACCACTTCATTTATTAGGTGAAAGTTTATTTCAGAAATAAAGAAAAATAAAAAAAATGTTAATATTGAGTTAAGAAACACAATGGACAGCTATTCCAGTACCCCAGCCAATAGCACATGTAGATGTGGGCAGCAGAGAAGAGACTCAGATCCAAAATCTCTCTCAAGACTTGTGTATTGTGGCTCATCAGAACTGGGTAACATCACACAGGCCATGATCTATCACAGGACAATATTGCACTGCTCTGCAAACACTTTCACCACATCAACTGTAAGAATGCGTACTAGTGAATGCTGTATGGAGGGAATGGGAATGATAGAGACTAAAAGCACCTTCTTTTAAAGAAGAATTGTTAGAGACTAGGGACTAAGATGAGCTGCAGAGGGAGGTAAGGCACCACCATTTGGGTATTTAAGAGTAGGTAAATACATACACCTGAGAGGCCAAGGTAGAGGAAACTCCTGCTCCACAAAAATGGCTAGACCAGGTGACTCCAGAGGTTTTTTCACCCCTGTTTTCTTCTTCCAGTACCCCATTATGGCAGCTGCAGCCAGTTTGAAACGTGTCAGCTATTTGACGCCAAACACTTAACTGTGAAGGACTAGGAAAGTGGTGTTCTCAGTATAGGACACTCAATTCTGAAATTAACTTCCAACAGAAACCCAGCAGAGTTTGAGATCTGCGAGGTTTAGGGTATGATATACAGTAAAATGCAGCTCTTTCATTAAGTTTTTTTTCCTAAAAATGGGTATCATAGGAATCAGCAACTGGACATTATTATTTGAATACAAGAAAGAATATAAGAATACAAGAAAATGGTCTAGAATCTGAATGATAAAATACTGCTTTCCTGAAATAGTTCCTCTAGGGTCAATCCATTTGTGTGTCAGGAAATGGGAAGGTAAAACTGGGTTTGTAAGTGAAACACAAAACCTTCATAATATTTCCACTAGAAGTACTGTTTTACTTACTCTTTTATTATGGGTGTAGCAAGGAAACTTTGCCAAGTTACAAACTATTCTAGAAGACTAAAGCTAATTAAGGGCCATATTTTAATAATGTACCTACCTCTTCATACTTACAGTATCAAATAAAATGCAAGACACACAACGAAAGTAGCAATAGTGAAAGGAAAGCAAAAATTACATTTTTAAAAACACAGTTAAACTAATCTTACCATCAAGACACTGAATGTGTTAATGGAGACATATAAGATGAAAATATCTACGAAAGCATCAATCAACATGTGAGACTTTTGTGCTCCACTAAGAAATTGTTCAAATTCAACCAAATTTGAAATTTCAGAGTTTAGTCCTGGTCACTAATCTAAAACCCCAAATCATTGCACAGCTGCTGTCATTACACATTAGACATTTAGTCAGTTGTCAAATTCTAATAGGAGAAAAGCCAATATAAAGATAGAAACCTATCCTAACAGGCAGAAACGAAAAGAAAGGTTTGCAATGTGTCTATGAAGGAAAAAGTAGGAATATTTTTGCCTCTTTTGTCAATTCCTTGAACTTCCAAACAAAACAGAGTATATTTGTCTTTCACCATTTTAAAATGATCCTGTTCTATACTACAAAATAGTACAAAGCATACTGTAAAATCAAATGGGATGATGAAGCATTTGAATATACCTATATTGTGAAATATTGCATATTAATATATTAATGTTCTGAGTGAGTATAACTTTATCTGGCTGTATCTATATATTCAAGACAATTTGTGCACATGCCCCATTAGATGATCCTCCCTATTGGCTCCTACACATCCATGTCAGCTCTAGTGTCAGCACTAGAACAACAGTGGCTTATCCTACCCCTCCCTGGTAGTTCCACTGGAAGGACAGGCTTAGAACATAGATGCAAGGCACTGCCCACCCAAAATTAATCACTACTGGTTTTTTTTATAGGAGATGGTCTGCAGAAAGGGTGGTCTTGTGGTTAACACACCAGACTCAAGACAATGGGGTTCAAATCCCAGTTCTACCATCAACCTGTGTGACCTTGGACAAGTCATTTAATACCTCTATGCCTCAGTTCCCCATCTATAAAATTGAGATAATGCTACTTCCGTACCTCACAGAGACGTTGCTATGATAAAGTCATTAATATTTGTGAGATGCTCAGACACTATGGTGATGGAGGCCATAGAAGTATCTGTGTAGGTACTAACATAGCCCCAGAATCAAAAGTACCTAAGTGCTTTGGGGAACACTTTCTATTTAAAAAAGTAGTATGTTTTTAGAGGTTCCTATATTATTATTTAAAAGTTCTATTGTAGTAGAACCTAGAAGCCAGTCAGACCAGGGCCCCATTGTGCTAGGTGCTGTACAAACATATTAAATGACAGCCCTTACCCTACCTTACATTCTAAAATACAAGACATACTAGGTAGAAGAGACAAGTGGTTCTGAGTGCGGGCAGAGAAGACAGGTTAACAAAGATAACAATTCTTAGCCAGTCAGGAGCTGTACTCTTTCTATATACTTTTCCTATGGTTTAATTAGTAGTTGTGTACATACAAAGTTGTAAGGGTTTAACTAAAGGTGAGTTTTTAAATTGATTTAGTTAAATCAGTGCAAACTTCCTAGTGGAGACTTTTATATTACCTTATATACTCTATCATAAGCCGGTTCGTTTATAAGCCGATCCCCCCCCCCCCCAAGATGGATAAGTGAAAATGGAAAATTTTTATAACCCGTTCATAAGCCGACATTATAATTCAGGGGTCAGCAAACTTTGGCTCCCGGGCCATCAGGATAAGCTGCTGGTGGGCCGAGATGGTTTGTTTACCTCAAGTGTCCGCAGGCACGGAGGTAAACCAAAGTAAACAAAAAAAAGTGTCCCGGCGTGCCGGCTGCTTATCCTGATGGGCCAGGACAGCAACTGGTGGGGAAATTTTTTTGGGGAGGGCAGAGAATCTGGGAGTCAGGGGAGTAACCCCTGTGACCACCCCCCACGTGACCCCACCCCTAGTCCACGACCCCCACACTCTCCCCATCCCATCCCTTCCCTCCTTATCTGGGGAAGGCCAGGGGAGGATGCCTGTCGCCTGGCTGGAGCTGCTCCGGCGGGCCAGACTGGGCGGCGTGGCCGCAGCATGTTCCAGCAGGCTGGGCCGGGCGGCACGGCTGCAGCGTGCTCCGGCAGGCTAGGCAGCATGGCCACAGCCTGCTCTGGGGGGCGGGGCCGAGTGGCACAGCTGCAGCCTGCCAGCCCCGAAGCTGTAGCTGCTTCGGAGGCTGGGGGGAGAGCAGCGTGGCCAGAAGCGGAGAGTCTCTGGCCCCGCCTCTTCACTTCTGGCTCTGCTGCCTCTCCTTGCTCCCTCTGTTGGCGGGAGGGGCTGTGTCCCACCTCTCCCTCTCTATACCCATTCATAAGCCGACCTCCTTCTCTGGTGCTTCCCATTTTTCCAAAAAAAATCTGGCTTATGAATGAGTATATACGGTAATTTAAAACTGGCTTCTATTTAGTTTATATTAATTCCTAACTGAATTATGCTAACAATAAGCCAGGTTTAAATCTGAGAGTCCACACAAGCATTTGCACTGGTTTAACTAAATCATTTAACTAAAACCAGTTTTTAAACCAGAGCTACTTTGAGGATGGATAAGGCCTCAGAATACCAAACAAACAGAAAGGTGACCCCTAAAGCCCTTTATTGTTAAAATATATGTATTTTTAGGTTCACTTTTTTTGTCCTAGTAGAATTAATTTAAAAATATCATCGTAAGATAGACCCCCTCCCTACCACAGAAAGTCTACTTTAAGTATGGAAAGACTATACTCATGCTCTTCCTTTATAAACACGTTACAGTGTTTAATTCTTGGGGCCACTGCCTTACCTCTATTTCCTAAGTTTGTGCCTGCATGGAAGGACAAGAAGATGGACTGCAGTTCTGACACAGATTACAGTACCCTAATGGGGTGCAATAGTACATATGCAGGAATGGAGGAAAGGTATCACTGTTACAATACCACAAGCAATAATATAACAGCAAGTGCATCTGCTCATACTCTGGTCTCCTATTAACTCCCTCCTGTGACAACAGACAAATTTAATGTAGGTAAAGCCCTCCCCAATCAATGTTTTTTGTAGAATTATTCTAATAAAGACCAATATCAACACTTTTATCAAGGTTCTGAGCGACTATTAAAGAGGAAGCTCTTGCTGGAAAAATATGGCCTTGCTGCTTTATAAAGGTATGTCTACATTACACTGGAGTTGAGAGTGCGCCTCCCAGTCCAGGTAGACAAACTCGCATTATCTTGAACAGAGCTAGTACATTAAAAATGGAAGTGTGGACATTGCAGCATAGACGGGGTACCGGCTAGCAACTTGCGTCCAAGGCTGTCAGAAACTTCTGGGCCCGAGCTTGGCTGGTTAGCTTGAGTCACTGCCTGTGTCACAACATCCATAGTACTATTTTATGCACTAACCAGCACGAGTTTGTCTACTCCCAGCCACACTGTAGACATACCCTCAGATGCCTCTGCCAATACAATATTCATAAAAATGTTTTTTTAAAAGTACGGTACCTGATAGAAGTCCTTTTGCCTCAAATATGTAATTGCTTTATTTATTTCCAGGTCATTGGCTAACTCTACATAGTGGGAAGCTTTTACTACTTCAACACACCTACAACAAAAAGGAATCCACAGAAATAATTACTATAAATAATAAGTATCTGCATTAATGTCACTTCAACTCATGTGTGCTGCTAATTAGTTATCTAGACGAAGTTTCTCTGCTATGTTAGGTACTCCCATGTTTGCAGACACATACAGTGTTTCCATACATTAAAAGTGTTTTAAAGAACAGTTCAAATTTAATCAAATTTGGCTTTTTGGATTCTATGAAAGAATTGGTAATGGTAAAACTGTACAAACCTCGGGCCACATCTATAGTTTGGTCCCTGGGTACTACAATGACATAACCCCTAAAAATAAATATGTATTGATTCAATAAATTAATTAGAAATGGTATATATGTCCCAGAAGTTGTGTAGTAAATGTATACTGTATGAGAAAGTGAATTACAAAAAAATCTCTAAGGATACTCTCAGACATTATAATATAGCACCAGCCACACTACAGTAGAGCTGGAGTCTGGCAACACATGTAAAGTTCATTTTTCAAACATCTCTCAGAACAACTCTCAGAAGGTTCTTTTTAGTTATAAATTATTCATGCCTGACCTCAGCTCAACCCCTCTTGTGTGTGTGACACCATCATCTCTAGAACCCAACTTATTTAGCCCAAGCCTCCAGCTGCATGTTGCTAAACAATCATCCCTCTTCCTGTTCATCCCCTCTAGGGCAGTCTTTCATTATGCAGTGGTACCAGGAAAAGAAAGCTGACATGGAATTGAACATTCATAGCTTCCCATCCATTGAGGCACTCTCTTCCAGTCAGCACTTCTTTGGGCTTTATTAGGGTGGTATGTTCTGGAAAGAACTGGTGATATGGGCCAGGATCTTTATTATATTGACAATCTGATCTTCTAGACGGTCTGGACTTAAATTAAGTAAAGAAACCCCTCTCTGGTATGTCTCTGGAATCTCTCATTTTCCTTAGGAGCTGGAAGTGAATGCTTTTTTATTACTGCAGCTTTGGCTACTGCCTTTTTAGGGCCTTGTTAAATAACTTTTCACCATCAAAACCAGCAGATGCTATAATTAAGGCTGCGTATCTATCATGGAAATCAAGGATTCCGTGGCTTTCTGTGACCTTCATGACTTCTGCAGAGTCCAGTGTGGCTGGCTCCGGCTCGGCCCGCCCCAGGCCAGTAGCAGCAGCAGTTTGGGTGCAGGGCAGCACTTTCCTCAGGGGGGCTCCCCGGAAGCGGCTGGCATGTCCCTGCAGATCCTAGGCCAAGGGGCTAGGGGGCTCTGTGCATTGCCCCTGCCTGCAGGCACCGCCCCCGCAGTTCCCATTGGCTGCGGTTCCTGGCTAATGGGAGCTGTTGAGCCGGCGCTCATGGCGGGGGCAGGTGTGGAGCCCCTCAGCCTTCCCTCCCCCTAGGAGCTGCAGGGACATGCTGGCCACTTCCAGGGAGCTGCGTGGAACCTGGTAAAGAGCCTTCCAGCCCTGCCAACCCTCCCCCCGCCCAGCATCAGCGAGGATCTCGGGCCACACACTGCCACCCGCTTCCCCTCCAGCACCCGCGTGCCCCTGGACTACCCCATCAGAGCACCTGCGGCCCAAGTTTTAGTTAGGGGTATATAGTACAAGTTATGGACAGGCTGTGAATTTTGTTTACTGCCCATGACCTGTCCATGACTTTTACTAAAAATACCTGTGACTAAAACGTAGCCTTAGCTATAATCTGTTTGGCATGTGAATCACCTCTCCACTGCCAAAGTCTCTTGACACCTCTTGGCATCAGAGGAAAAGGATTGTACTGAAAACATTACAAAACAGTCTGCTATGAGAGAAGAGGCCAGAGATACTTTGATGGCCAGTGTTAAAACCTTTTTAACCAAAAGATATAGGTCAGACCTGAATACTCCATCAATCCCTCATGGGAGGAAGATCAGACAATAGTCTCATGAGTAAGCTGCATGTACTTCTTTTTAACTGAAGTTTGAGACACCTCAGTAACATAAGAAATCTACATAATATCCATGCCTACTTCATTTCTCTAAAGAAAATTAATCTGATTAAGCACAGATACCTGTAATATGCCATGAACTCAATGGAAAGTAGCTGAAAATTCAACTGTCTGGTTAAGCTAGATTTTCAACATCTTTGTGTGGCTAGAGTTGTGCAAGGCAGCTAGAGAATATGAGTGAATCTGCCCCAATATACACAAACCCATCTAATGTGTCTAATCATTTAATTAACCATTAAGTGAATGTCCATAAACTTTGTCGTAAGTTATTAGATATAAAGAATAACTTTTTTTCAGTATTTCATGGCAAGTATTTAGTGAATAGAGGCAGCACGAGGAAAGTTGAATGAAAACTAAAAGATAACTGTATATGTATTTATACACACCTACATGTATGCACAGACAATGCATAATGAATAAATGAATCTATTCTTTTGCTTCCTTTGAACACAACACCAGATCCACAGGAAGCAAATCTGACTTGCTAACGAGAAGCCACTCCTCACCAAACATATTTGTTTAGAATCTAAGAAGCCAGAGCAGCTATACTAGGGAAATAATATGATTCTATCTATTATTTAATCATCAAAAACCACATTGTGGGCTTCAGTGGACTAAAAACTTAAAATAACCTCTTACAGTAAAAGAGTGATCTATAGATAGGTGTACTAACAAAATGTAATTGTAGGATCTGCAAGTCTTGAAAATGTTCCTTTGCTTGTGTATATTCATAAATCATTAAGAGTGGTAACTTATTTTCATTTTTAGGGGCAGGAGAAATGAGTAGGGAAAAGCCCTTTTTCCTCAACAAGTTTCCTTCACTTCCATGTTACAACTATTTCAAATACTAAGGAAATTCAACACAAAAACTTCCTCTGGTGAAGCTGAAGCTGTAGGCACATATCAGTGGTTTGAGAGCATATTATCTTTCACGAATATTAGAGTTAAAAAAAACAAACAATAAGCCGTTCAAACATCAGAAACTTAGAATTCAAATTGCATTTTGAGAAGGCACCCTAATACCTTACTCTCTCCATGTTGAGCATTTATATACTCAAGACAAGAAGACAGTATTGTGTGTACCAGAAAACTTTAGTTTAATATATTAATACATATACATCTCTGATGCTAATGAGCTGCTTTATGACCATGTTAACTTTTACACTTGTCGTGCAAATGTTCTAATAGAATGTGCTAGGCACATAAGGTTTATAAATGGAGCCAAAATAGCTCTGTCTAATGATGTAAGCAGAGTCTGAATGAGCTCTCCCCTGACATCTAGTGATGAGCTTTAGAAGAGGACTTCAGGAGCTGATCTCATTTGCTTGGGCACACCCACCCTGCCTAAGTGTTCAGCATGATAGGATTGCTTGCTCAAATGATCACTTTTGGCTGGTGTTGGATCCCCAGTCTCCTTGTTATTGGGGCAGGAGTAATAAAAGGTTGTTATCCTTATTGTGTGAATCAAGGGCAGCAGAACTGTACTAGGCATACACTCATTGAGGGACTCATCCTCAACAAAACGGCACTCGCCAGGCAGGGGACATGGGTTCCAAAGCCCAATGAGTTGGGGGGGGGGGAAGAACAAGTACTTGTACCAGGTTGTGTGGGCCCTATGTAGACACTTACACACCATTTGACCCTTCCTCTCTCCACTGTGTAATACAAGAGCTAATTTAGACTCAAGTGAGAGTCTTGTTGCGCACACGGAGCTGAAATCACTGGTATCTAGGTCTAATAATTAGACCTGCTTTGGGACAGTGTCTCTGATGCAAGAGACTGCCCAGTGTGCACCAGCAGTGAGGCTCCTGCACTAACAGCTGAATTCATTGAGAGCTGTGTGGTGGCCTGAAGACCACAGCTGGTGGAGAAGCATGGTTGCTGGTGAAGAGGAGGGGCGAGCGAGTGCCCGGGCAACAGAGCAAGAAAGGTACCTTCTTATCCTCCCCCTCCAACCAGGGTGAGAGGTGAATCCTGCAGATGCACCTGTGAACTCTGGGTCTGCATTGACCAAGGACGACAACTGCACAGTGGGTTGCAGAGAAGGGACGGGTACGTTAAAGGGACTTTTGGTTGCTGGACTTAAGAACCTCAGGGAAAAGGACACTGCCTAACTTACTTGGGGGGTGGGTCTTCTGCTCATGGTTAGTGTTTATGAACCCTGTTTGTGGTGTTTTCCCAAATTAATGCAGAGTTACTTTCCCCCTTTTATTAAAAGTTTTTTTGCTACACTCAGACTCCGTGCTTGCAAGAGGGGAAGTACTGCCTCTTAGAGGTGCCCAGAGGTGGTGTGTAATTGTTCCAGGTCACTGGGTGGGGGCTCGAGCCGATTTTGTGTTGTATTGTTGAAAAGGAACCCCTAGATTCTGAACACAGCCTTTGTTGCTGCCAACTCTGACTGGCAGAACAGTTACATAACATTTAAACAACTGGTTTGCACATGGAACCAGAGGCCCTGATCTTGTGTGAAGTCATTAGCATCAGAAGAGTAAGACACTGTATATCTTCAGCATGTCACATTCAGACCTTTAGTGAAGAGTACAGAATGATTGTCTTCTGTATGTGATTTGTCTAATCAGGAATTTGTAAGATTCTTGTATGAGTACTTTGTATGAATGTAAACAGTCGTAAAGCAGCTCAATAACTATATGACTGACATTTGAGTTTCTATGATCTGTGATGCAATTAAACTGTTTTGTAGATGGATAAAGCACAATATTTCTGATTATTTTTTTTCAGGGCATTGCTATCAAAGCTGACTGAAAAGTACTTTGGGTGCTTTGTTCGAGAAGCACAACTCAAATGCTACATTTCCTAGGTTTCTACATTTGTGAACTTGTTTTTTTGATTATGGACAGAAACTGGCATGCAGTTAAACTGAAGAAAACTGTCTCCTACCAGTCATAGCCTATGGCAAAGGAGGTTTCAATCGCTGGTGCAATCAATTTTGCAGCTGTCATGATATATTTTTCTGCCATGCCTTTCCTTAGGAATTAAAATAGATATATATCAGTGTTTAGAGAAAGTATATATGAAAACATCAAAAACTTAGTTACCTTATCCTGTGCCTTGAATCGCTATTCACCAACTAAGTCTGAGCAACATCTATACAGTAACTCCTCACTTAACGTTGTAGTTTTGTTCCTGAAAAATGCAACTTTAAGCGAAACAATGTTAAGCGAATCCAATTTTCCCATAAGAATTTATGTAAATGAGGGGGTTAGATTCCAGGGACATTTTTTTCACCAGACAAAAAGACTATATATATATATATAATATAATATATATATTAACACACACACACACACACACACACACAGAGTATAAGTTTTAAACAAACAATTTAATACTGGTACACAGTGATGATGATTGTGAAGTTGGGTTGAGGTGGAGGAGTCAGAGGGTGGGATATTTCCCTTACTGCTAAATGATGAACTAGCAATTGGCTGAGCCCTCAAGGGCTAACTCTCTCACTCTGCAAGGCATCAGGAATGGAGGGAGATATGCGCATTTCCCCTTTAAGTACACTGCCTTGTTAATTAGATCAACTTGCTGAGACCACAGCTGCTGCAAGCTCCCTCCGTCCTGAGCCCTGGTGTGTTACCCCATCTTCCATAGAGCAGAGGGAAGCAGGGAGCAGGGGGGAGGGGGACACCCTGACATTAGCCCCCCTCTTCCTTCCTCCCCCCTGCACAGCAAGCAGGAGTCTTGGGGAGCAGCTCCAAGACAGAGGGCAGGAGCAGCTCATGGCAGTGGGGGGGGAGGGGAAGGACAGCTGCAATTGCTAGCCTGCTGGGCAGCTGCTGCACAGGGAACTTAGGAGAGCGGGGAGCTGATTAGGGGGGCTGCCGGTCCACCCTGGTTCCAAGCCCCCACCAGCTAGCTGCAACGGGCTGCTCTTCCTGCAAGCAGTAGACAAAGCAGGCAGTTCCCAAACGACGTTAGAAGGGAGCATTACATAACTTTAAATGAGCATGTTCCGTAATTGATCAGCAACGAAACAACGTTAACCGGGATGACTTTAAATGAGGAGTTATTGTATTATTGTTTAATCAAGACATCAGTAAAATAATAGTATGATTTAAGGATAATATTACATCTTTCAATGCATAATATATAGATTGGGTAGCTAGTAATGCTACAGTATTTCTTAAGGCCAGAAGTTTTGTGAGACTTGCATAAATCCAAGAGAGGTTAGTCACTAAACTATATCATTACACAACAATCCTATCCTAGCATATGAATAGGAGCATAATAATTTATAATACAGAAAGAAGATCTGATAATACAGTATCTCAAAATAATAAAGGCCCCATAGGGTATGTTTATATTGCAGTTGACAGTGAGCCTTCTATCCAGGTAGACTCATGCTAGTGGGGCTTGCGGTAGCATGCTAAAAATAGCAGTGTGGACTTTGTAGTTCGGGTGACAGCTTGGGCTCTCAAGCCCACCGAGCCCCCAGTTCTGAGGTCAGGTTAGCCACCTGACCTCAGAACCGCCTGAGTCTCTCCTGCTATTTTTAGCACACTAGCTTCATCCCTGCTGGTACAAGTCAGTCTTACTCGGGTTGGGAGGTTACTCCCAGCTGCACTGTACAATATCCCTACAGTCTAACATTTATATTACCTTCCAGTGCCAGCAGGCCACATATGCTTTGCAGTGGTCTAACATACTCATATACAATCCAGTGTGGCTTTTGCACAGGGCTCAGAAAATTAAAAAAGCCCTCCCCCCCACCCTTGAGCAGTGTACTTCACTGATGGGGAACTCACATCAATAAGTGTTTTGTAACTCATTCTCCTCCATTTGTTCGTCTTCCCTATCCCACTCCCTAGGGATACACAGGACTGTGACCAAGGGCCAGATTTTTCTCCTTTTGCTTCTTTATTTTAAACCAAATACCTCCCTAGTTCCTAACTAACAGTTAGGAAGTAGAAGAAATGTTCAGAATAATGGAGCCCTTTGTTCTACTTGGCTGAGCTTCAAAATGGAGCTGTTAGCCAAGGACACAAGATTGGTTTCTGAAGGTCCCTTAAAATCTTATTCCCTGGCTATTTTTCAGCCAACCAGGCCAAAAATTGCCCACCTGTTTTAGCATATCTAGTATTTCTCCTGACACTTTCACAAGCCCAACAGTCATTACTAGGGAATTTATGTAGTACTTTAAAGCCATCCCATCCAGAATAAGGAATAGCTCTCAGACTTTGCAGCTTGGAAAGCTGGTGTCAATTTCCATATGCTAGCAACCACGGAGGCATATGTGGAATGGATAGGGACCTATGTTTCCAGTATTACCTTTCACGTTCCATTTGCCGTAATTGATCATTTTTAATGGCTTCAATCAATAGGTTAGTATGTGGATCATCCTAAAAAATCAAAACAAAATAAGTTATGGAAATGTATATTTATATATAAGGTAAGCCATATATGTACATTAACACAGAGTATAAGACGCAACTGACATATTATACACTATACATTTTTTAAAAGGCATATTTCAATTGAACAATTAGACTGTCATTTTTCAAAGAACTTATGTACAAAATAATTTTTTTTTTACCATTTTATAGGTTGACATCCTCTGACCTTTGGAATAATGAACTATTGGTTGTGGTTAACAAATTCTAATTACAAAATTAAAAATAATTACATTTGTGACTAGTAGCCTTATACTGTTTGTCTGCTACTATTTGTGGATCACATTTCATGTTAACCACATAGGTTACCAACTACTGTACTCTGTGTATCATATCTATGGCCCTGATTCAGCAAGGCATATAAGCATGTGAGTCGTCCCATTGACAGCAATGGGACGACGCTCATGCTTAAAGTTAGGCACATGCTTAGTGCTGCACTGAGGCCCCAATTCAGCAAGGTAGACAGGGAGTCTGACTACATCACGTAATAGATCTTTTCTGTCTTCAGGTTCTATAATTATACATAATCATAGGTCTTTTCCATCTCTAGAGTCTATGAAATCATGAAGTCAGTCTCTTGTGTCAGTCTCACACGCAGCATATCTAAAAAACAAGTGTGTGTGCGAGCGCGCATGTGTACACACAGACACACACACTCCATGTATTTGTGGAGGATCTCTCATCAATACATAGATTATAAAACCAGAAGAGACCACTGCGATCATCTAGTCTGACGTCCAGTATAACACAGGCCATAGGATTTCCTAGAATTAATTCCTGTTTGAACTACAGTATATCTTTTAGAAAAACATCCAATCTTGATTTAAAAATTTCTAGAGAGGGAGAATCCACCACAACCCTGGATAAGTTGTTGCAGTGACTAATTACCCTCATTGTTAAAAATCTGCACTTATTTCTAGTCTGAACTTGTCTAGCTTCAGCTTCCAGACATGGGATCTTGCTATCCACCTTTGTCTGACAGACTGAAGCGTCTTTTATCATCAAATTTCTGCTCCTCATGTAGGTGCTTATAGACAGTGATTTGATCATCCCTTAACCTTCTCTTTGATAAGCTAAATAGATAGAGCTCCTTGAATTGTGTATGCCAGAACGGGACACACTATTCCAGGGGCAGTCACACCAGTGCCAAATGCAGAAGGAATATAATCTCCCCCCTCCTCCTCCTTGATATTCTCCTATTTACACATCCAAATGTTGCATTAGCTCTTTTGGACATAGCATCACAATGGGAGCTCATGTTCAGCTGATTATTTACTGTGATCCTCAAGTGTTTTTCAGAGTCACTGCTTCCCAGGATAGCTCCCTTCCATCCTCTTAATATGGCCTACATTCTTTATTCCCAGAAATGACAACATTTTGGCCACATTGAAACATACATGGTTTGCTTATGCCCAGTTTACCAAGTAATCCACATCAGTGTGTGTGATAAATGAATTTGATTTGCCTTTGAGCATTCATTTGCATTCTGCCCATTAATCCAGCTGTCTAGGATTACTTCTAAAATGTCAAACTTCTGAGTTGATTAGAAAAGATCCCCTTTTCCCCATAAATTGACCTGTCACAAAAAGTTTCTTTTTTTCTACCAAATGTGGAATTTTATTCCAAATTATGCTGAGAGGCAGTGCAGGACAAACAATATTTAGCCCTACATCAATAACAACATCTTTAAGGTCCATTACGTCGTCATGATGTAGGGCTAGAAATGGAGCTTTACTCCGGAAAAAGGGATTCACAGCTTTCCCACAGGATATAGAGGACTTGCTTATAGCCCTAGTAAATCATGACCTTGGATAGAAAAACTATTTTAGACTATTTTAAGAGGTGTCTTAAGTTTATTTCACAATAGCAGATGTAAAGGTAGCCATCTTACAGCAAAAAAACTTCAGGACCAGACTCCAAAGAGAAACTGCTGAGCTTCAGTTCATTTGCAAATTTGACACCATCAGATCAGGATTAAACAAAGACTGTGAATGGCTAGCCAAGTACAGAAGCAGTTTCTCCTCCCTTGGTGTTCACACCTCAACTGCTAGCAGAGGACCTCACCCTCCTTGATTGAACTAACCTCGTAATCTCCATACTGATTCTTGCCTGCATATTTATACCTGCCTCTGGAAATTTCCATTACATGCGTCTGACGAAGTGGGCATTCACCCACGAAAGCTTATGCTCCAATACATCTGTTAGTCTTAAAGGTGCCACAGGACCCTCTGTTGCTTTTTAAGTTTATTTGTTATTTTTTCTTACCTCAGAGTCATGAACAGTTGGTCTCATGGTACAAGGGAGCCTAGCTTTATTGGTGGAGGGATATTAAAAAAATAGTTCCAATAAACTAAAATGAACCAAAACCAAATCCTCTGTAAAACTTTAATAAAATTGTTTTTCTGTATAATATGTGTGCTATGATATTATAGGTTTTACTGGCACTCATTTGAGATGACTTGCATAACTTACTCACTGATTTGTCATTTTTATTATTTTAACACAGTATTTTATGTAAATGTTTTATAAATAAAAGTGGCAAAGCAGTAAGTCATCCCAAATGAGTGCCAACTCTATACTACAACACACAAATACATATTTTATGTATGGCACATTTTCTAGAAAAACTATTTTGGAAATGTTTTCAAGAGTACTATCACTAGTGAGTAGTACTGCCATCCTCAACTCATGCTGGTAAAACATCAGACCATCGTGTGTATGTGTACACAGACATATATGTACACATTATATAGAACAGATTTTTTTTCCTCAACATTCAAAATTTTCCCTCTGCAAATAAAATGTGTAGATTTTGCTTAGTTCATACTTACATTTGGTGAAATATATTTGTCATCATAATCAATTTCCAGTGGAACAGTGATCAGTTTTTGGAAAGCTTTTTTCATTTGTTCACGGTCTCCAATGGCAAAATAACAAAGGATCAGGTTGAAGCCTGCTTTCAGGTTTGGAGATGTGCTCATTATGTGTTCAAAGGAACTAATGCCATCAGTGTACTGGCCAGTTTTAATAAATGCAACTCCAATGTTCTGCATTATTTTAATCCTAATTAAAGAAATAATTGTTAAGTAATATTTATATTATTATTTTTTTATTTTAATATTGTCAAAGGTTCTACTGTATATACAAAACAAAAGGAATTTCAAAACTTTTACAGTATAAACTCACCTCATTTCTTTATGGACATTTGGAATCTGATCTAGAGCCATGCGGTAGAATTTGATAGCTTTTGAATAGTTTCGTTGTTTTAAATAAATGTTTGCCATATTCACCTTCAGTCTGCCTATCACAAAAATAAAGTGAATGAACTATGTGCCAACCTTTTAAAAATATTCATATCATCCCTCCTCATGCAAACTTTGAACCAGTGAGACTGCAGAAGCACCTTTTTCATGTATCAGTACCTGTATCAGGTCTACTGGCCCTTTAAGCTAAACATGGTCCAAAACAGCCTGTTCCTGACTTCCACTCAGAATGGAGAGAATTCAGGGAGAGACAGCAAGGAATTCTAGGAAAGAAAGGACTATATAAAACAAGCTTCTTACTGAGTCTAGGAGATCAGGGATGAGACAGGATTTGCTGTGGTGTTCTCTGCTGAGAAAGCTTGGGGAAGCAGACCAGGAGAGGGTCTGGGAAGAGACCTAGAGACAGGCAAGATACAGAAGGAAACTCGAGAGGGTGGGAGAAGGGAACGAAGAAAGTGGCACAGAAGGTTCAAGATGGGAAGTGTTAGCTTCCTAATTTGGGGCCCATGGCTGGGGCTTCCATAGGACGAGAAGGAACCTCCCCTTCACTTCAGAATCAACACGGGAAAACCAGGGCAGACAATGATGGAAAGGACTATTGAACTGTTCAGGCTAGGAAGGGAAAACTACTGTTGGTAATGACCAACCCTGCGCATCAGCAGTGATGAAGGAGGGCAAAGAATGTATTTTTTTTAATCTGGACTTATACTTAGCCTGGAAAGAGAACACTTTTTGGATTAGCTGGAGGACTAAACCACATCAAATCATCCAAGGACATGAGGTCTGACAATACAAGGTGGTGTTTGCTGTCAACTCTGACTGGCTTCCATGGGAGTTGAGGGCACTCAGGAGGTGCTCAGCATCTCACACGTGAAGTCAAACAGCTGGTTAGTGAATGCGTTGCCATCAGTATCAGGCATTTTGGTATGTAACTTACCTCCGTTGCTGAACATCTTATTTTTCACTATGACTTGATATGTATTTAGTGCTTCAGCATACATTTCATTAGCAGAATATTGGCTGGCCAAGTTGAAAAGAACCTGTAGAAAAAAGAAGGAAAAAAAGAAAAGAAAAAAAAAAGAGAGAATACGTAACATAACCACATCTCTCTCTCAAAAAGTAACCAATATGAATCAAAGCAGCCATTAGAAAAATTTCAATATACAAAATAGATAGAAAGATGCTTTAATATATTTGTTGACTGTGTAGCTCTTTCACCAACAGAAGTTGGTCCAATAAAATATATTACCTCACCCACCCTGCCTTTCTCATACTTCCCATTTCCCCAATTATCTAAGGAAGAGGTAGCAAACATTTTGCATCCTAAATATGTCGGTACATAAGCTGTGGAGAACACACAGGATAAACATAAAATGGAATTTATTTATCTGCAAATGTATCTTGTAGTAATGTGTTCCATGGTCTAATTGTGTGTTGGGTGAAAAAGTATTTCCTTTTATCAGCTTTGAACAATTTTGGACTTTCAATTGAACTGAATGCCCCTTGTTCTTGTATTATGAGACAGAATGAACAGAAGTTCCCTATCTACTTATTCTATACCAGGGGTGGCCAAACCATGGCTCCCAAGCTGCATGTTAACTCTTTTACAGTTAAAGTGCAGCTTGCAGAAAACCATATGCCCCTCCCCCCATTCTCCGCCTACCAAACTTGCGGGGGGGAACGTGGGGCTTCTTCCCTACGGCAAGCTGGTGGGGCTTCGGCCCTGCAGGAGGCACCTGTCGGGGCTCAGGACTTCAGCAGACGCGGGGCTCAGAAGATCAGTTAGTTTGGCCAACCCTGCTTATACTGTTTGTTATTTTGTATACTTCTATCATGAGCCTCATGATATGCACCTATTCAGAGGAAGCTATCCCTTGGCAAAAGAACTCTCTTCACAGTTAATGTTACTTTTTAGGCCTAAATATGAGTAAATTATGAGGTGAGGTTGTTATTAAAATGTTTTTTTATTTGTAACTCATAGAATGTGTGTAACTTTTAGCGTAGTTCAACAAGGCGTACGCCCCTATTTGTGGTCTATCTGCTCATGAAGGGAGACTTCTGCAAGATGCTATTAAGAAAAACAGAAAATCCTTGTCTGTATCCAGATGAATTATATCCATCACTTTCTTATTTTTATTTTTTAACTTACCTTCAATATATATTATCAGTTTAGCCTGGCTTGACATATTCTTAGTGAAATACTTCCAGTACAGTATTAACTAATGTACAACTTTAAATTCTCCTTAAATATTAGGGCATAGACCCTACATAATCTTTTCTTAAAGCCTACTATCAATTTTAAGAGTTGAAGACAAACCCTTAATTTTAAAATTATCATTAAGCTTTAGGAATATTAACAACAACAAAAGTACCCTTTAATTGCTATTTTCTAGAATTACAGTAACTATTTTCAAAAACATTTCTAAATATACAGTGTATCTGATCTGGAAATTTGTTCTGGGAACTCTCAGAAAATACGTGCATTACAGCAAACTCAATTTCATTAAAAAGGCATGTTACTGAAAAGCACACTTTACACCCAGATCTTATTCAGGCAAACAGACATTTCAGCACTTACTGAGTAAGTGAGATCTAAGTTGATGTTTTCTGGAGATGCAATTTGTTCACGTTGCCTCACCAACACTCTTTCCTTTCTTCCAGCATCTTTTGCCTTTTCCAGAGCCTTAAAGCAAATATTACAGTTTAGTCTTGCCTTCTGTCTTCCCTCTCAAGACCCACTCCCATATATTTAAAATAGAAATTAATACATTATTTTCATACATATTTCCTTTATGCACACAGAGCATATGCACACACACACA